AATTTAGATGAAAACATATAAAATTTACTATTTTTACTAGTAACTTTTAGTACTTAAAGAATATCATAAAGTCAAGTTATGTGTGATATTAATTTGGTATTTTGGTTAATAATTACTTTTAATTCTATACCAATTTGAAAAGAGTTAGAAGAAGTAATCTTTTAAACTCTCAAAAAGTCTTGGACATAGTATATTTCATAAATGTATTTTTTGTATTTTTAAAGTTAACTAGAGAGGAATTTTTAGATTTGTTTTTTAAAGATTAATTGACTAAGGCCATTGTGTCTATATTATTTCCATATTTTACATGACTTTGGGGTATCTGCTTTAAAATATTTTAAAAGTCATATAAAATGCAAATTAAACAAAAATAAAACCATTTCAGTGTTGGATCTCCTCTTTGGAAAAACTGTTTATTTGAAAGAAATTAATTTAGCAAAGATTTGACTGACCTTAGGAACACATTAACTCATAATATTTTATAGCAGTCCGTCCAGGCTGTCATATTCTCTAAAAACTGGATATAGTTACCTGGAATGCCATAGACTTAAAACAACTAACCCGAAGAAGAAAATTGTTAGGAAAAATAGATTGGAAGAACAGCTGACTTTAACTGCGGGGAGAAAGGCAATGTTATGAACAGGAGATTTATCTTTAAGAAACAAGAGTGAGAGGGGCTGGCCCCGTGGCCGAGTGGTTGGGTTCGCGCACTCCGCTGCAGGTGGCCCAGTGCTTCGTTGGTTCGAATCCTGGGCGCGGACATGGCACTGCTCATCAAACCACGCAGAGGCAGCGTCCCACATGCCACAACTAGAAGGACCCACAACGAAGAATACACAACTATGTACCGGGGGGCTTTGGGGAGAAAAAGGAAAAATAAAATCTTTAAAAAAAAAAAAAGAAACAAGAGTGAGAGCCAGCCCAGTAGTGTAGTGGTTAAGTTTCTGCTCTCTGCTTCAGTGGCCCCAGGTTTGCAGCTTTGAATCCTGGGCGCAGATCTATACACTGCTCATCAAGCCATGCCGTGGAGTCGTCCCACATACAAAATAGAGGAAGATTGGCACCGATGTTAGCTCAGGGCCAATCTTCCTTACCAAAAAAAAAAAAAAAAAGAGAGAGAGAGAGAAACAAGAGTGAATGTTTATTACAAACATGAATTCATTATAATGAAGTATTATAATAATAATAATAAATATGTTTCTAACACTTTTATGTTTGGCTCAAGTAAACATCTCACTAAAATAACATTTTCCCTTGCATTTTTGTCTCCCCCAAGAGTGATGTTCTAGTTGTGCACTATTTTCAAAGTTCTTCTTCCTTACCCTATTCACTGCAGAATTAAATCATCGTAGGAGAGAAAAGCAGAACAGTTCAACTTTTTAATTTTACTTGGATGGTCTACGTTTGAACACAATTACTCGTTCTTCTGACCTCTTCTTCACTCAAATATTCCAACCACTTCTTTTGGAAAAACTCACCTAAACTTTAAACAAATCATCAAAACTAAAAATAAGCCCATGAAATATCCAGGAGCTTGGAATATGACTAGTACCGTTATAAAAAGGGGAAATTCGGACACAGACATACACACAGGGAAAATGCCACGTGAAGATTGGAGTTGGGCTGCCAGAAGCCAAAGAACTGCAAGAAGCCAGGAGAGAGGCCTGGCACAGATCCGCCCCCCCCCCCAGAACCTTCAGAGGGAGCACTGCCTGATTTCGGACTTCTAGCCTCCAGAATTGTAAGACAATAAGTTTCCGTTGTTTATGCCACCCAGTCGGTGGTACTTTGTTACGGCAGCCCCAGCAAACCTGATAGAGAAGGGGCGTAAAAGCGCCTAAAGAGACTGAATCTCCCCAAGTCTGGAATGAGACGGGCAAGTGCATCTACTCTATCTGTATTTTTTTCATCTTCCTAAAAGACACTAATGCTCAGCTGAAAATAGCAGGCATTGAATTTGCTTGGACACACCACATGAATGTACACAGTTTATTGTTCCCTGATTGCTCTATTAAACTGAATAAAGTTACATTTCCTGATTCAGAAGTTGCATCCAAAATACCCTGTAGGTGAAAAAGGGGGAAATTTTGATAATAGAGGTGTTGGCTTCTTACAGTATAAACTAGAGAGTTGATTCTGTCAGATCTTACCCACGGTCATACTTTCTACGGTTTATCAAATGATGCATCAAATTGCAGCAACAGAAAGGGGTTCCCTAGGAGCTTCAAATTGAACTTTTGATTTCTATGAAGGTTATAAAGAAACTACATAAAACATAAATGTTGTTCACATACAAATTAGACTCGGCTCATCTCTCTGCACCTTTGGCAGACAGTGCAAATAGAAACTTTGGCAAATTCCATTCAGTCTATGAACTTCTTACCAGACAATGGAAAGATATTACCTGCTAAATGTCTTCCACACCTGGCATACAACACTACTAACAAGGGATGTGGTTTGCTTACCTCTGATATTGAGGCTTTCATAATGAAAGTTCTTCTCATCTTTAGTTTCCTCAAAACATGCAAAAGCACTAAATAAGATTTTTGACTTTATGGAAATGGAAGGAGACGGCCTCTGTGGACATGTGCCTACAAGATAGCTATGATTGTTGACAGCAAATGATGGCCTGCTGTGAAACTGTGCATTCAAAGTGTGAGGCAGGAAGAATGTCCTTCTTTAATTTGGAAATAATTGAGGATGAGGATGCAAAAAAGTATTACAGTAAAACATATTTACGTACCGTTTCTCAAACTGTTTGGTGATCGTTGAGGAGGTCATAAGGAGCTAGGAAAGCATGAACTATCTGTACCTGAGTTGATGGATATTATATGCGGCTTGTCACAAAAACTCACAGTGAAAAGATGCCTCATTTTTTGAGTTCTTAACTAAAAAATGTTACCAGAAAAGAGTAGCCACATGAAACAGGACTCCCTTTACTAGAACTGTAACTTATTTGGAATCCATCCAGTGTGCTTTGGGGTGTTTAAAAATGATGGCTATTTTATAAATGGATAGCCTATATGATGAGCTTGTACACGCAAAGGACCTTACAGACAAACAGCTAGTCTACCAAAACAAGCCTGTAGATATAAAGTGGATGGACATTTTGAGAGAGCTGGAGACTGAATTCTTATAACTCTAAAAGCCTACTGTTAGAAAGTGAAATCTTAAGTATTTTATGTTCAGACACCTTTGTTAAGAAAATGTTTAGCTTGAGGTCATCATGTTGGACTGATACCTGTCATGTGGGATTCTCAGGGCAGAGCCACTGGTCAAAGTGGATTTTACATTTGACTGTAGATGTTTTACTCCTGCAAAAAAAAATAAGAGTATATTCTTAAGGCCACAGGCAGTTCAGACAAGTATTATTGGGAAAGGGAACAAAGAGTAAAAATATCCTGTTGTATCATGGATAGAAAGATGTCATTATTTTTTATTAAATATAGGTAATAACTGCTTATGTAATTAGCCCTATTGTATTTACATTCTCCTTTTAAAAAGACTTAGATTTATGTTTCATAAAAGCATACAATATAGCCTACTAAATTTAAATATCCAACAAAGATCTAAATAAAAGGGCAGAAAGAAACATTATAAAAATATTGTATTTTTTCATACATTTTATTTATTTAATTAGTTCTATTAAGTACTACTAATTGCCACTATTAACTTGTCCTATTGTTTTGTATAAGTAAAAGTGTTTAACAGAAAAGTGAATAGTACAGAAAAATATGTAATTTCAAATAAACACCTATTCATAGTTTTATGTTAAAGTAATAACACATGTGCATAATTATTTCTCATATATTGTTCTGTGTTTTTGGACTGGTGTAGCAGTGTCCCAGTTGACTCTAAAAAGTTGACCACCCCGCTGTAGACAGTGTGCATCTTGCCTGCTGACTTTGTCTCTTTGCCCATCCTCCTTCCTTCTTCCTCATCACACATTTCAGTTTCACTAAGGACCGTGACTTTGAGATTATAAAAGTTTTAGATTAGTCTTGGAAAAGCTAATTCTTGTAATATAGCTCTGAATTTGTAATCCCTAAAATAATTTACATGGAGAGGTACTGAAAACCTTCAAATAAAAAGCTCATTTGTTATTTTTTTTTATTGCTTTATGTTAGTCCTATTTGGGGAGCAGCATAGTATAACCAGTAGGAAAAATGCTTCTGAAGCTCCATGCCTATCTAATGTTTTGGGGGCAGGTAGGGTTATTTCCTTTGGTGTAAAGTCATAATTCTATTTAATTGCAAGTGCTGGAATGACTCCATTTACCTAGTAACGTCTTTTAATTACATACAATTTTTGGAATGTATACTTTTGGTTTTGTTGCTAATGCTTGTTAACTCTGCTATACTTTTCCTATTATTAAATTGGTGGACTATACTTGGTGTTATGTTTCTAAATTCAGGAAGGTTCCCAAAAGTGTGTGTTTTAGCTCTAGGATCTTGGTTGACAAATATATTTTCAGGTCAAATGTGATAGATAAGATTTAGCATATGTTGTTATATTTGGCAAATATGCATCTGCTCACAGGCTTATATATTGTTATTTAGAATGTTAAGTAGACTTTTGAGATTTTTAAGGTTCTTCTATTAATGGATATAAAATGAGTTCCTATTAGGTATTTAGTTGCTATAAAATGCCTCAACTTCTGAAATTCACACTACTTTGATCATATTTCTACAGTAATTTGAGAAGGCTGTTAATAATGGCTATTTACAGACTTGATTCGTTTAACATGAGACAAGTGCTTGAAATCTGTTTTTGTAAGTGAACATTATTTACGTAAGTGAACATAAGTATACAATATGCTGTCTATTAAAAATATTGTAGTATGCTAATGACATAAGTTCTCATGAAGAAGCCAATCAGTTTAGCAGACTTGCTGTGTTTTGATATCAATTGTTATTTTATGCTGAGAAGCTGTTGAATGTTTCTTCGGTATTTTGATAAGAATGTTATCCCTGACATTGTGTTTTATGTTTATCATCCAGAGGGATGGAGTCCTGGCGTACGTTGGGAATTTTCGCCTGCTTGCAGAACTTTCCAGCCCTTTTGTGAATCAGCGGTAGGTTACTGTTATCATTAATTATTTTAAATTTGTGCTATTTATTTTTAGTTTGGGGAAAATTTTTTTTCTAAGATCCTAAAGCTACTATATAAAAATAAGGATATATGATATGGATTATTATAACCTTTGGACAAATGAGGAAACCAAGCCTTGGAAAGGTTAGAGAAACTTATCCAAGTGGTGGTCCTAGCTTTTGAACTCAGCTCTCTTTGCAAGATGATAAGGCTTTATTATACTTGAGTTCATCTTGGGTCCAGTTCATATTCCTGACATCAACTTCCTCCTTTTCCCAAATTCTGATAGTGACATTATCTGAGTCCCTCATTTAAAAAAATAATCTTTTTATTTTAGATTTACAGAAAAGTTTCAAAGGTAGCACAGAAACTCCCTTGTGCTCTTCACTTCATTTCCCTTGTTGTTAATATCTTATATTACCATGGAACATTTGTCAAGACTAAGAAACCAGCATTGATATATTACCATTAAGTGAACTCTAGACTATGTTGGATTTCATCAGTTTTTCCATTTGTGTCTTCTTTCTGTTTCAGGATTCAATCCAGAGTGCCACATTGCATTTAGTTGTATGTCTCCCTGTCCCCTCTGGTCTGTAACAGTTTCTTAGTCTTTCCTTGTTTTTCATGACCTTGACAGTGTTCAGGAGTACTGTCCAGTTGTCTGTAGGATGTCCCTCAGTCTAGCTTTGTCTGTTTTTCTCATGGCTACTTGGAGGTTATGGGTGTTTGGAAGGAATCCCTTTAAAGTGTAGTGCCCTTCTCATCACTTCCTTTCAGGAGGTACATGATATCTACGTGATATCATAGGGGATGTGAACTTTCATCACGTGGTTGAGGTGGTGTTTGCCAGGTTTCTCCACTGTGAAGATTTTCCTTCTTCTTACTCTATTCTTTGAAAGTAAGGTATGAAGTATAGCCCACTCTCAAGGGAGTGAGGGAGAGAGGAAATCAAGCTCTGCTTCCTGGAGGTAGTTTCTTGTTTTTGACAGTGGATTTATTTATCCTTTATTACCCTTATCTTGTCATTCAGCAAAGTCTGCTGACATTTTTTTGGTGTAACGTTTAGCTGTTCCTTTCATTCCATACCCGTGGTGCTAGTTTAGGCCCCCAGGATCTCCGTGGTGTGATTACTGCAATAGCCTCTGCCTGACTTCTCTAATTCCAGATTCCCCCTCTCTTCAGTCCTTTCCTCACAGTGCCACCAAGGTGATCTTTCTTATGTTTCACTTTCAGTGCCTTATTTTCTTAATAAAGACTACATCCTGTTAGACTCTTCTCCAGCTTTTGGAGTTCTCTGTGATGTGCTCCATACATCTCCAGCCTTATTTCTTAGTACCCTTTGGAGTCAGTTTTGTACCCTTACTCTCTTGTGCAGCTGTGGGTTGTTCTCACGTTTCTTCTTTTATTCATATCTTCCATTTCCCCTCCATCTTTGAAAACTTTACCTGCCTTTCAAGTGTTAGGTCAAACTTCCAAAGCCAGGGAAGGCTCCCATGAATACATGGAGCCTTCTGTGACCTGGTACAGGGAAAACTTAGAGAATTGGTAATGTCACATCAGAATCATGTGAGTTGGAGAACATACCCTGTATCAAGCCTTAGTGATAATCTCAAGGATACGGGTAATCACGCGTCACTGGCAGGGAGATGTTCAGGACTATCAACATAGCTCCCTAGGTCCTTTTTCCATTGGACATACTCAAATAAGGTGATCTATGAGGTCCTAAGAAGTATGTGTAGTTCACATCGCTGATGTAGAAGGAGCTCTCTTGATTATGAAACATCTCTATTTAATACTCAGATGGTTACATAACTTATGTAACATTCCCCGATGGGTCAGTCCCCATAAATCCGTACATTCCAAGTTCATTTACCATAAGCAATCCTAGACTGCTAAAGGTCTTCCGTTGAAGAAGACTCTCCTGCTACAGATACCATTGGTCTGTTTATCAGGAGATCTATCATTAGTCTGTTTACCAGGCAATTAGCCTGATTTTCTGTCTTTTTTTCCTTGCCAAGGGGGTGGAGATCCTTCCACCCCAATACAGGGGAGAATGGCTGCAGATCTGTTGCTTAACCTTTTCTTTCCCAAGTACTTCTATAGGGTGTTATTTTGTTTGCCAGTTTTTCATGTGTTGTAATCTTATTTTTTCAAGAAGATAATCTGTTCCTTGTGCTTAGCCATTTAGATGTTCTTGAGAAATAATTCTTCTGCAATCCTCCAAGACTCTGATAATGTGCAAGTATACAGGAAAGAGTGTCTTCTTTGAAGTTAAAAGATCTGGATTCAAATCCAAGCTTTCCCACTTACCATTGTGTATGAGTGGAAGATTATTTAACCTCTCTGAACCTCAGTTTTCTTATCTATAAAACAAAGATAATGATACCTACAGGCCTCACAGTGTATTGTGAAGATTCAATGAGATTGTATAGATAGAGCGCCTGGCATAGTGCTTGTCATTCATTATATGTTCAGTAAGTGCTAAATGTAGTGTATCTTCACTATGCCAAAACCCAGTAAACACTGGAAGTGCATAGCTTATATTTGATTTCTCCACTTTGTCATATCTTTTTGCTCTTTAGCTCATTAAAATCAGGCTTCCTCCTCTGTCATTTTGCTGGAACTCTTTCATTAGAGGCTTCCAGTTTCATTAGACTTCCAGTTTTAAAATCCAAAGAACTCTGTTTGTGCCTGTCTTAGTGTATCTCTCTGTGGACTTGATGCTGTTGATCAACTCCTTCTTCTAATGCCCAACTCCCTGTGCTTTCACAGCACTGCACTCACCTGGTTCTTGTGTTTCTCCCCACCCCTTCTCCATCTTCTTCGTAAGAGACACTGCCATAAATACTGGTGTTCTCCAGGGCTCTCTTCTGGATCTTCCCTGTACTTCTCCCTGGGTGAGTTCTTCTACTTTTAAGGTTTCAGCTATTACCTATTTGCTCATCTTGGTGTAATGGACTATGCATAAGCTTTAGAATCCGATGAACTCAAGTTGCATTTCAGCCCTACCACTTACTTGCTATGACCTTGAACAAGTTTTTTTTTAACATCCCTGTACTACAGTCACTTTCTCTATAAAAAGAACATATTTAATATTACCTACTTCTTTGTTTTATAGTCAAGAGTTTTCTCCTCCAGGTGGCACATCAAATTCAATATGTCTAAAATGGAATGCAACGTATTTCCTTCTGTATTCTCTTAGATTCTCTCGTTCAGCATGTGGCCCAGCCATTCTTTCGGTTACCTCTGCTGGACATGTGGGAATCATCTTTGACTGTTTCTCCCTCACTCATATTTGGTCCATTACCAGGTCCTAGCTACCACCTCCTAAATATTTCTTGCCTATGCCACCTCCTCTCCATTTCTGCTGCCAGTGCCCTGGTTCATCATCTCTTACCTAGACTGTACCGGCCTCTAACCCTGTATCGCACAATAGAGTAGCCACAAGTGATTATTTACATTTAATTTAATTAAAATTAAATAAAATCAAAAATTCAGTTCTTCAGTCTAACTTATAATATTTCAAGTACTTCCTAGCCCCGTGTGGCTAGTGGCTGCTGAATTGGGTAGTCTATCTATAGAACATTTTCATTATGGCAGAAATTTCTTTTGAATAGTGCTGTTCTGGACCAGAGGTCAGCAAACTACTGCTCGAGGGCCAAACCTGCTGCCTGTTTTTGTTAAATAAAGTTTGATTGGAGCACAGCCATTGTTATCTGTCTACCATGGCTGCTTTTGTACTACAATGGCGGAGTTGACTAGTCGAGACAGAGACTATATGGCTTCCAAAGCCTATCATTTCACGCTTACTATCTGGCTCTTTATGGAAGAGGTTTGCTGATCCCTGCTCTACGCCATCTCCCTGCCTCCAGTCCTGTTCCCCTTTCCCCTCCCTTCTGTATTATTATCTTCCATGGTAACCTCCCTAAAACACAACAATGAACATGCAGCTGAATGTTGAATCCTTTCAGTGGCTCCTGCTGCTTCCAGGATAAAATACGGACTCTTTAATGTGACACAGAAAACTCTCCACGTGGAGCTGTTTTGTCTCTTTCTGCCACATCTTCCCTCAAAAATCTCCTCTTACTCCAGCTTGCCCATCACTGGAAAGGCCTCCTGGCTCTTCTATCCATCAAGACTCAGCCCAAGGATCATTTCCATCACTAAACCCCATCTCTTTCTGGCTGGGTTGAGTGTCCCTGTGCTTCCATGATAGCGACATACAGTTATACCATTACGATGAATGTATTTTGTTGTAAAGTTCTTTCCCTTTTTTCTGTTTCTTCTTTATCTCTTCCTTTCATTAAGTCAAGGGCCAAATTTTGTTAAACTTTGCATGGTCTAGTGTTCACACATTGTCTGGCACACAGTAGCCATTTGATTGCTTTTTGAATGAATGATTCCCAAGAGATGATCAGTTAAGTTTTAGCAGCTTCTGTCTCTTGAATCTGATTCAGATTATGAGACTGAAAGCAGGAGAAACTTAACTTTGACACTTAGAGGAACTTCGATTTGTTTTTTGTTTGAGACTCTTTATGAAAAATCATGAGATTAGAGATAGTTGAGTTTATTCTTTAATTTTATAGGAAAAAGTTATACTATATCTTATGTAAAAGCTCTAAGTTTTTTTAAATTAAGAAAATGAGAAGTGGGGTTGGAATGCAAACAAGAAATGATGATATAATGGAGCAGCAAGAAGATTATAACAAAATTGAACACAGTTATTTAAGCACTGTTAGAGTTTTCCATAGTTGTTTTCTTTATAATTTGTGGTATTTTTAGGTTCTCTGTTTTAAACCCTTGTGTAATTTAAGAAGGCACATGGGATGCGTGTGGTGGGGTATGGAGTAAAAGAGAATTGAAATAGTGCTGAGGCACCTGCTCTTCCATTAAATTTCTGCTGCTGTTATGCTCATGCATCAGATTTCTTTTGTGAAAAATAATTTAATGGTGATAACTTCTGTCTTGCCTAAATGCCCTCAC